GGAATTGGCATTGAGTGTGTTTGTGTGAGTGTAAAGAGACTATCCAGCCTTGGGTAGTTCTCTCAGAGTAGCGTGAAGTTTGGGGGACAGCGTGCGCTGTGTGGACAACGTGTGTAGTCACGTCAGAGGTCCAGCTCAGTGGCGTGAGAGTCCGTGAGACCGCGCGAACTAAGTTAGAGTAGCGTTAGAGGTCCAGGGGACGACGTGAAGTAGATAGAGTATCGTGAGAGTCCAGTAGGCATCGGGTACTACAGCCACGTGAGGGTCTAGCTGGACAGCGAGAAATATACTGTGTGAGTGTGAGTGTGAATGAGCATTGGAGTCCATGAAGTTTTATATATTGTTATACTGGCCATATCACAATTATAAGGGGGATTGGATAAATAAATAATTTTTGTTAAACGAAATTCTGTGTTTTGATCTTAGTTCCTTTCAACTAATCTCTCACGACCCTGACCTAGCACTCCATGTTCTGGTCCAGTTCTGGATACTGAGGACAAAAATCCAGTGGCGCCCTTAAGAGAAAAGGGGCGACCAAGAGAAGGAAAACATTCCGTTTCATATCAGTGCAAATTTTATCACTTGGACAGCGTACATTGGTCATTATTGGGTTTCCGATATCTTGGTAGCTAGCATAGTAGTTGCGGCATAGTTTTAGATAGAAGCAATCTAACCTGGTTAAATTAGCCATGTTGTAGATGTTCGCATTGCTGATTCTTTCTCGGTAGTTTGTTTCAGCTTTTCTATATTTTCGGATGCATGATCTGAGCGCAGATCTCTCTAGTCTACGATATTTTTCCATCACTGTGGGGCCCATATTCCACAGCGTCGGGGCTGCATATGTAATAAGAGGTCTTATTAGCAACTGATAACATATAAGTTTAGCTTCGACTGATAAGTTGTTATTGTAAAATATCCTAGAGTTGCTCTTGATTGCAGTTCTTGCTTTTTCAAGTTGGATTTTGTGGTGTTTTGTTCAGGTTCCAATTTAGATAGTGCTCATTAATTTTGTTTATCCTGTCCTGTAGTTTATTAATGATTATGTCGGTGTTGTCTGCAACGTATATCACTCTGTCATCAGCTAACGAGTTTGAGTTGACTCCATCAGATTAAAGTTCAGCTGCTAAGTTGGTGTCGCAGTCGTAGATGTTGAAGAAGATTGGTGATAATACTCTTTCTTGTTGCAGTCCTTCTTGAATGATGAAGCAATCGCTCGATAATAATTTCCCGTCCCAGGTGTAATAGAAGTTACCAATTATCATATCAATAATTAGGAAAATTAGTCCAATAGGGAAGTTTTTTGTTACCATGATGTAAATCAGTCCATTAATCCATACGGAATCGAACGATTTTTCTTGATCAAGAAACACAGCGCCAACTATCAAGTTATTGTGTAGACTGTTGTTGATGTCTGAAAGGAGTTTGTCGATCGCGTGTGTGAAAGCGTGCTTTCTTTTAAAACCAAATTGGTTGTTTGGGATGACTTTCTTATCTTCAATTATGATGTCCAGCTGTTTCTTGATGAGTCTCTCGAAGATTTTGCTTATACTCATGGTCAGACTGATGGGTCGGTAGCTTTGAGGTGCATCAAGAATTTCGACTTTTTTAGGAATTGGCAGTACTTTAGCTGCCTTCCATCTTTTAGGGTAATAGGAGTTGTTAATGGCATTATTGAATAGTATTGTATAGTCCTTGATGAAATTTTCGGCTATATTCTTGAGTACAATTGTAGGAATGTTGTCAAGTCCAGAGGACGTTTTATTTTTTAATTTTTTCAAAATGGCCAGGACTTCGATATAGTTGTAAAGAAATTTGGGATCACCATCTCGTTGTACTGGGTAGTGTGCTGGATTTTATTTAAAGAAATTGGTAAAGGTTAGTTTGTTCTTCGTCATATTATCGGTCGTACGGTGTAGGGGTTAGTTATCGGTCTGGCAAGTGCACGGCTCGGGTTCGAATCTCGGTTAGGACGGTTGTGAATTTCACTTTATTTCTTTAATTTGCGAAAATTAGGTTTAAATTAAGAGTTAAGCGGTCTGCATTTGCGTTAGATCTACATCAGAAATAAAATTTTGAAAATATTTGAAAATAACTATGGCTGAGCCCTGGCAACCAACCGTGGCCTCATGTTATCATTACAGACCTCCACCAAGGCTGGGCCAACTCTGGGTTACAAGCTGGGCCAGAGTTTAACAGAGTTGGGCCAAGCCCGGGGCTAGCCTGGGCCCGTTGATCTTTCCTATATGGGTAGATCATTTCTACCTCGCATATAGTAGATACTTATCAAATTTTGAGCCTTTAGGATCAGCAGCTCGGAAATTTAAAATTTTAATTGTTAAAACCCATTTTAATTGTTAAAAAATCATTTCTACATCACATAGAGCAGATTCTTACCAAATTTGGAGCCTAAAGGAGCTACAGCTCGGAAATTTTTAATTTTCATTCGAGCTATTTTTAATATTCTTCGAGCTCAAAAATATAATTTGTATACTACTTCGAGCTCAAAGAGTTATCTGATCTAAGCTTTTGAGTAGGGGTGTGCGAATATTCGAAATTTCGAATTACTCGAAGCGAATCGAATCGAACTATTCGATTCGAGATTCGATACGAATATTCAAATTATTCGAATAGTTCGAATTTTCGAATAGTTCGAATTATTCGAATAGTTCGAATAGTTCGAGAAATTTGAAAGATTCGAATAATTCGAAACTTTTTCGAATCTTTATTAAATCGAAGAGACGTGATGTTAGACACTCAAGTTACACTTTAAACATGAGTTAATAGCTTTTTAGTGTTTATAGTATAAGCTCTAATACAACTAGCTATCTTGATTCAATAAATTTCAGTCATTTTGAATCAAATCAAGCAATGATTTGACTTCTTTTACTCATACAGTCGAGTCGCGTTATGAGCCCTTCTTGTGTCTCTCTCTTATTGACGCGAGTCTGGTTAAAAAACAAAGAAAACAAGCCGGACTCATAACGCGATTCGACTGTATTACAAAGTCGTAGCAAATTAAAATATTTAATGTCGACAAAATTCTTTCTCAAAACCCAGCTAATTCTTTCTCAAAACCCAATCTTCTGATTTATCGAGGATTTTCAAATTTATTGATAGTTATTGATAGTTATTGATAGTTATTTATCTTGCGCAATTTGATTCTTATATAATAACGGAGGTACATTTTGATCTAAGATTACTTCAAAAAATCGTTATTTTTGTTTTAAAAGGTCACTCCAAATTTTTTAAAATTACAAAAATCGTCAAAAATCGAATATTTTTTTTTTTCACGTTACGGTATAATTTTATAGACTAAAAAAAAATGAGATTCTGAAAATTTCAGTTCAAAATTTGAATTTTGAAAGGTCGCTCATAATTTTTTTCAATTTATTAGTGCATTAGTTTAGATTTTTTCGAGTGACTTTTTACCATTCAAATTAAAATTCCATGTATTTTTTTTCTTTCATTTAGTACAATAATCGATAAAAATACATCACGAGATGAACTAAAAATCAAGCACAACATAGAAAATATATATATTTTTTTAATTTAATAATTTTATTTAATGGACTGCCAGGTGTGGGTTCGAATCCCGAGCTGATCTTAGAAACCAAAAAGACCCTACCGTACGACTCCCAACAGTTAAAGTCGGCGATATGAGTAATTAAAGAAAAAAAATTATGAGCGACCTTTCAAAATTTAAATTTTAAAGTGAAACTTTCAGAAACTTATTTTTTTTAGATCTGTAAAATTATACCGTAACGAGAAAAAAAATTAAAAAAAAAAAAAATTCGATTTTTGACAATTTTTGAAATTTTGAAAAATTTGGAGTGACCTCTTAAAAAATTTTTTTTTGAGCTGTCCTTTGGTGAAAGCTCTTAAAACATCAAAAACTAACAATTTTTCACTCGAGACTAAAAAAAAAAAATAGTCGGTTTTTTTGCGCCACCCTAATATAGATATATCAGAAGTTTCGGTATGACCACATATGAGCATCAGGGTATATCAAAAATTTTTTTTCGGGTTACCATTCTAATTTATTTCAATGGATAGAAAGTATAGAGCGTGATAAAATACTTTACATCTCAACATCCGGCGAAAAAATAGGAAGTATAGTATTCTTCTACAGTATCACTTTTACTCTGCTGAGCATGTCTCCGAAATTGAACTTTTGCGGTAAGGATTGCATAAAATTGATTGTACAATACTTATACTTATTCATTTAAGTTATTATAGCAACTGTTATCATAGTAATCGTTGCCGCAGTAACTGGTACAATCTCAATTTTTTATAATGCTTGAAAATTGTTACTCCCGTCAACAATCAAGTTTTATATTAAAAAGCATGTCAACATAAAATTATGACGTGGCAGTTAAGGTAGTTGTCGTGGTGGAGCGTAACCGACAATCGTGACGTTTTTTTTTTATATTGCTATAAAATTTCTCTCATACGTCGATAAAGAAGTTTTACTTTAATAATAAAGAAACAATTATTAGTATAATAATTAACTAGTAAACGAATACACAACCAATAGGGCGTGTATTCTTTCTCGATATCCCGTATTCTCTCTCTCTCTTGTTCAATCTTTCTCACTATAGCTCTCTCCCACCTCACACTCCATAGCACTATGCGTGATAGGACGTTTGCTCTGTCTCACTTTTTCTCTCAATCTTTCTCACTCGCTTGCTCCCTACTCTCACTTCACGGCTAGTTGCTCATGCTACGTTCGCCCTGTCTTACTCTCTCTCAATCGTTCTCGATCACTCTCTCTCTCTTTTCCGACACTTCCGTTGCATACCGGCGTGACGTTTCATCTGTAAAAATTTTACCCTCATGCGCCTAAAGAAGTTTCACTTAAAAATTGTGTAATTGATTAAAAAAAATAATTTCCCAGGAATAAATTTTAATATATATATCAAAAAAGTGTATTTTTCATGTATTGCATGCCTTAAGCGCGAAGCGCGTAGGTATGCTCTACTCTCGCCTAAAGATCGTGATTTCGATTAAAACGTGATTTTCATGATTTAAACGAAAAAAATTATAGATCAAAAGCATATTGAAATAAATAATAGTATCTATATGACACGTTAAAAAAATTTTCTTAACGATTAAATAAGATTTTTCAGAAAAAACTCGTTTTCTGATGAATTAAATGAATAAGAGTGTGGTATTCACGGGAGCTATGGGCTTGATAACACCACAACTTTGTCAAAAATCATTTTCACGATTTAATTTTTTTTTGTTTTATTCCTGAAGAAGTTTATCAAAACCCTTGTGAAAATTGCGTGTCAAAATAATTCCGTTTCGATACAGTTAATTTTTTTCGATTGTCAGTTCAGTGACTTTTTCTGCGATTTCGGCAGCCACATATATTATTTTTCATAAACAGAATTGAAATAACTATAAATAAGCAGAAACTATACATACATGATTGTATAATTATGAACTGTTTTATCATCTGTTAAAATTTTTCTTTAGTTCGACCTACAGAGGGGATAATACTACTCGCAGGAAAATTCAAATTAAAAACGAATAATTTTTGATATGATCTAAAGACTTTATGTTTGACATGAACGCTTAAGGCATGCTTATTTGGATTTTCCAAACTTTTTATATTTATTTACGTATTAATTTATGCATATATCTATACTAAAACGTTTTAAATAAGAACAGTTTGCGACAGCTGATATACGCATATACATATAATATATACACACATTATATGATGTGAAGTATATATATATATATAAATATAAGTAACGTGGTGGAATTACGACGCACGCGCGCTGCATTCGTCCACTTTACTTGACTCTCCTTAACTCTCCCCACCCTTTAAAATATATAAGGCTTGCTCGGCTTGCTATACAAGTGATTCCCCCACTCGCCTACTCTAAACTTTCACTCAATGCTTCTCCTCTAGCGCTACTGCCCCTTTTCCGCCTCAAATCGTTCAATTTTACCCTCCGTAAAGAAGTTTCACTTCAAAAATACTGCAATAGAAGGATTAGAAGACCTTAGAGCAGAAGATTAAGTTGTAAATAAAACGAAGTAGAATCTTATTACCGCTTTAATTTACAGTTTTAAAAAACTGTGTTTAGACTGTAATGAAGTAAAATACATAAGTTATGGTAAGCTAAAAAATAATAAACTAAACAAAAGCATGCTAGACATGAGGGTATCATACATCTTACAATATTGAAGATAGAAACCTGCGGCAGGGGAGAAACTGCTACCAGGCGCGTCTCCCCGTAGCGGATGGGTTGACACTCGCTGTCCTTGGATGACACTAGGTCTCTTAGTTGATGAGGTACAGAGGGTAGGAGTTGAATGAAATACGCTCCCGTGGACAAAACTCCCTTTTAATGGGTTGGTCACACTAACTGACCTAACAAGGTGATCAGTTCCTTCTGTAACTCACTGGGAGTGTCCGGAACCTGTTTCGTAGTTTCCGACGATGCAGGCCACGGGTGATGTGAGCTTGCTCTGCCGAGGTGTAAGTTGCAGTGGTGGATCAGGAGCCAGTCACTTCGGGCTTTGATCAGGAAGTACGCAGTGAGTGTTAGAGATCGGAATCTTCACCGCTCCGAGCGAGTCTAGTCCGTCCGTGTATTTCGGGACTGGCTAAGTGTCGGCTAGGTCTCAGGGAACTGGGGTAGGAGTACTATCTCCGAGGGTACACCCGTTCCTAGTTATGGCAACCCGCTCCACTCCGTACGATGCGCTGGTGAATCAAAAAGTATGAGTAATTTACAGGAAACAAACAAGAATAAAAACGGGCTTCATGCCCAAAAAGCAGCGATTGACGTAAGCGCCGAAACGAAGCGGTCGCAAGCGCTCGAACGCC